TAAAAAGCCAATGAGGAGCTCTTGAAAATAATGTTACCTTTAATTTTTATAAAAGGTCAATTCACTCTAAATTTTAAATTAACGGKGCTAAACGTGATCTGCTGAGCGTAAAATTTATTATGTTACGCACTTTTAAGATGGAAACAACACATGTGGGTGTAGCGTCCTCTTAATAGTGGACTCAACGAGTTCGTATATCATTAATAATAAATTGGTTAAATAATGACTATTAAAATAACCATTTGTGATAATAGATAATATATCGAGTGCCTCATTGCTCATCAATTACTTTATAATATATTTACTCTGAAGATTAGATACTTTATTTTACTACATATTATTAATTATTAATAATTAAATACAAATTATTAGATATTAATATTGAACGAGTATAATATGCCTACCTATAACTATCACTAATGATTGATAAATATAAAATTATTTTACCTCATTTTTCGTATACAGGACGTGGATATACCAAAGTTTAATAACTTTAATTTACAAGGAACTTTATGGGTCATATTCATCTATAATACATTTGCATTATACCTATACCGTATAGTACGTTTTACTTAGTAAAAAGTAACTTTTTTCTCTCGTCAGAAAATCACGTTGACCCCGTAAATGATAGGTTTTAAGGATTTGATATTCTATTATACATCCAGAGATTTTGTGATGGCATCGAGTGTCGTAAAAAGGAATTAATGGGGTAGCGATTGGATTTCACTTTAATACGCTGAAAATCATTGATAATTGAAGTCCAGGATCCAGACAAAGATAGATTGTTCAAGATGTTTTGAGAAAATCCCCATGATGCACGTGTGTCGAGAATGGCCGATGACCAAATAAATGTCCATTGATATATAACGGGGAGACAATTTAACTTGTATGTAGTCTTTCCACTAAACAGACTTTTTCAATTTATTTTTCTTATCTCTTTAAAGTCGAAGAAAGAAATAAAAACAGAAATTTGAAATATTATTTCCAAACTAAATGATAAAAAAAAAAATAAAACAATACAATTTTACACGAAAAAAATGTACTTAGCTGAATATAAAAGTAAGGTAATTAGGCAATATGTATTATTACTTAATTATTATTTTATATAGGCACCTAAATAATATTTTTGTATTATTATAATCCATTATAGTTTACATTAAATTAGTAGGTAACCAAATACTATTGTCATGAAATATCTAAAAGTGTAATTAATTTATATATAATTTTATAAGTTTTATTTAATTTTATTTGAATGAAGATCAACAGTTATTTTAAGATATACATTTTCAATTTTATTCCTATCAAATAATAAGGTTTTAATTTTTTCAACTTTTAATTTTTTTAATTATTACCTCATACCATTGAGTATCTGTATATTTAGTATATTTTTAATGCTAGTATGCATTTTGTGAAAGTTTCATTATTTCAAGTACCAACGGTTAGATTAGATTTTTCGATTACAAAATAAATTGATAAAAACTGGTGTTGCTTAAAAATTAATTTTTTTMATAATTGTTAAAATTTATAAATGTAGGTTCTAAAAACGAAGAGAGAAAAAACATRAAGGAAACCTAAGTAAGTACAACTATCAGAAAATTTAAAAAAATTCAGCAATCATGCACATTGCTCATTTTTCTATAAAATAAGGGAAGTTTGACAAATATCAAACTATTTATTTATACTTGTTCAATTTTTASTGATACTATTTACTATAGTAATGTAATTAAAATAAATCCAAAATATTGTACTATCGTTGACAAACAAAAAATATACATAAAAAATGTCTAACTATAAGCAGGATTTAATATTGTGATTAATTCTGTGGATTTGGCCTCAATGTAAGACGATAGGAAGAACTTAAACCCTTTGCAAAGGGTCCGATTATAATCAATCATATTTATAAAACCCAATTCCAAGGGGATGAGGTGAACTAGAAGCGTTATCAACATTGGCCAAGATGGACTGGTGAACAAATATTTACTAACTTTTTCAACCCTCTATCAGAATATATTTACATTGAGCTCATAACAGTTCTTTTTAAATTTTATTTTCATTATCTTTTAAGGTGACTATAATAGTTTTAATTAAAGAAAAATTAACCACTTAAAATATTTTCATAATAATRATTTATTAAACTTAAATTTAAATAATTATTWATACTAATTTATTATTAAATTATAAAATTATAAAAACATTACATTATTGAATTTATTGTTTGTTTGCTACATAACAATGTATCTTGTGGTACTATTGGGTATAATCTATATTCTATAGTATAGAATCTATACCTACTAAAAGGTACTATACTATAGAAATGAGTAATGACAATAATAAAATAAATAGATTATAGGTAATCAATAATTKATATCAGTGGTGAAAGAAGAGTATTTAAGGGGATTGAAAACTGTGATTTTCTGTCTTTGTCTATAACTAATACTCACGAATCATAGGTATTTAGATCTATTCTATTTCCACCATAACGTTTGATTTACTTAAAAAATCAAATAACATTTTTGTCAGGTCTACTTGTGATTAACTTTCTCGCGTGTTTTAATTTCCCCCTAAATTCTAAAAATGTAAGATTAAAAGATAGAAACATGAACATTATTTTTAAGAATATATTAAAAACGTGAAATTTTTGTTTAGGTAATTAGATAATGACAGAMTATTATAATAATAACCAATAAGTGAAAAATGTGATGCTTACGGTGAATGATTAAATAAAGTAATGTTTCACAGCAGGTTKAAGAATCCTCTAACCAGTCTAACCAGAGAAACTCCAACATTTCAAAATAATAAAATAAAAATTCAAACTATTGATATTATTATCAGAAAACAAACAATGGGTCAATTGAAGTATGGGTTTCGTTGCGATGGATCAAGACGCGCATACTTTTTCAGACATGTTTATAGGATTGTTTCCCCTCCTAAAAGAAAAAAATATATTTCACTCAATCAATAGATAATGTACAGAAACCAAGTAAAAGAAAATGTATAGGTATTAGGTGCCCTCGCCGATATGAAATTTTATGTAAATGTTACCTTTTCATAGATTTGGATCGAAACTAATATTTCCCATGGGCTTTTATGACGCATAGTTTACAACCCCGTTGGATATTCAATTTCAATGGGTAGTGAATGAGCAAACTACAAAAATTGTGAAAGGCCAAAATAAATTAAAATAGCATTCAAAGTCATTACTTATAATATTATAAAACGAGTATATTTTTCATTATAAAATGACACACCCAATACTAATCAATATTTTTTTTTTTTTTAATTTTTCGTTTTAAATTCGAGTAACATAATGTATTATGATACTATGCTATCAATGTTATCATACTTTAAACTAGTTTATTAATTATTGAAATTAATATTTTCATTAGTTTAAGTCTCTGAATCATTTTACTGTATTAATATTTGTTAACACATGCAACCCATATAATCTTGTATAAATTAAATAGGTATGTTAACAAAACATAATTAAAAAAAAAAATCTTTAGGCGTAATAACATTTTTCACCTTATAAAAAAATGTTCTTTAGGTTAATCTTATTTTCATACCTTAAAAATATTTTAGTACTTTAGTAGGAAAAATGCAAAATTATCTCAAGTAAATAATAGTACTAATTTGTATGTTAAAATCAAATGCTATGTCCTTAAATTGTTTTAATATTTGAACTTAAATTGTATTAACTATATAGTAGTATAGATACTATTGATTTGGAAGAAAATTTAGTTTATAAAAATAACTRTAATATGATTTTAACTATGTTTGAATTTGAAAATTACGTTTTAACAAAATTCATAAAAAATATAATAAACATATTGCTTGAATTTCCKTTTATAGAGTTATATCATTTATAGCATGACTCTATAGTCTATATTAAAATATAGGTCATATAGATATGTTATCTTTATACTAATGGATAGTTGGACAATTAGTACTCATAAATACTAATCATAGACCACATTAATTCATTATTAGGTCAATGAATTTCCATAACAAGCCGTCAACAACGTAATTACATTCCATGAACTTGMAAATAATGTTTATTTTAGTCTTAAGGTTACATTAAAACGAATTAATTATACATTGCAAAAACTAGGATTTAATTTTCCAGTAACTCGTAAGCATAATTTAAATACTGTGAAAATTATTAGTAAATTTACAGCAATTAACTACATTTTCCACGTTTCTAGTTTAACCTAACACCACTCAGAACCAACCGTTCTTACACACTGCACATACATACCTACCCACAATTTATTATTCATCATTATTCATTGCTTTCAAATGAACAATAAATAATACCTTCTATATTACTGGCTTACACAATATCTTAATACAATCGTTGTTAAACGAATAGGCAGCAACCAAAATAGTTTGATCATAATATAGATGGTAGATCTACATAATTGTCACRAATTGCTATCAACAGTTCATGAAAATTATTTCAACTGTAYAAAATTTAACAACTACAATATRTTTGGAATGCTTGYATGCATGTCCAACGCAATGCTTATGAAATAAAATCAAATACATGATTAAATTTAATGTCATTTAATGACTGAGACCTTTTAGACACCATTAGCCATCCATTGTTTTCCCTAAAACTTCTAATTACGATTCGAAAATTGGTCTTAGAGTTCTACATTGCATAAAGGTTTGTTCAGATAAAAGCTATAGTTTCCACCACGTTTCCCTTTCCCGGTACAGGGCAGTGGTAGACAGGAAGTGTAAAAGGAAGRGAGTATTTAAAATGGCGCTCGGCCAATTTGTATTCTGGTCGTTTTACGTTTATCCTCTCCCCAAAAGCCTCTAATACCGGGCCTTTTAAAAGGCGTTTAGACAAAATGAGCTAAGCATAGATTTGCCCGAGATTATCACAGCGAGAGAATTTGTTTTATRCATATTTTAATTATTACAGACTACAGTTGTTTCATACCACTATATTTAACTATAGGCATAATATTATGTAAACAAATATTGCCACATACCTTAGCGTTGACATCTGCAGTAATTGAAATCAGCAATAATAATAAAACTGGCCAAACTATACGAATCATATTTCTTCGCCCAGTCTAAAACAAAACAATAATATTAAAACTATGATAATATTTACCATTTAAATTTATAAAATATATCATTTTAAGAAAAACACAGCATATAATCGCTAATATTATATAGTGGCACACATTTACCAAAATACACCCGACTTTTGAAAGTGAGATACTAAAGTCATCTACGCAGCCCTATGCAGCCTCAATAGCGGTCAAACATCACATTCATGCTGTTAACACGCAGCGTGTATAGAACCACCAAAACTGCAGATGGTAACAAATCGTTAGAGAAATCACATTTTCTAGACCCTAGAAAATTCGAACGGTAAAAACAAAGTTTTTGAAGATATACTTAGACTAACAATGGCATATTAACTGGTAAAATAAGTATATCTTGGGAAAGTACGTGCTTTTTTGAATATAATATATTACGTTGTTCTCTGGAAGGCCCCCAAAAAATAAAGTACCTCAAACAGTTTCCGTGACAYCGTCTCAGCGCCGTGTGACGTATGCTTGATGGAGACAATAAAAAGTTTGTGTTTCATAAGTACATATACAACTGCAGACAGTTCAGGGGCGTCTTCGTGGGTGGAGGAGTAAAGGGGAACAGTCGCTTCTTATATCTTGAAGCTTTATAAACATTTTAGTTTCATTCTACGTTTTGTCTTTAACAGTTATCTGAACAGTATCTGAACTGTTTTTGATTACATCAATATTAGTAAAATTGTATATTCATATACATTTTAAATAATAATAATAAGTTAAATGGTTAAGTGCATAAAAAAAATTATATTGTTATAATAATGGTTTCGTTGTATGGTTAAAATTGGTTATCTCATGAGAACTTAAAAACCCGCATCATTGTGATTCATAAATGTCAAATCTGGTTAACATTTATTGTATTCGTCTATTGTTTTTTACGTTATAATATTACTTACTAGGTAGGTAATCATGGTTATTTAAATTACGTTTCCAGGTATTTTAAATTTTGCAAGTGTCTGATGAAACTATACTCCATTAAAGAAATTCAAGGAAAGAATGATAATATTATCATATTAATCAGTAATCTGTGTACGTTGCATTGTTTCTTAAAGTTTCTTAAATGTGAAAATAAATATAACATTTTTTTGTTTTATTTAGTTTTTCAATGATGATTTGTACAGAGTAAGTATAATACATATAAATAATAAATATAAATATTTTTTTTGCACATTATCCACTATTATTGATTGCAATTRAAAGATATAATGTATGACTTTCAAATTTTCCACCTTATTTAACACGCGCACAWGTATGGGAGGGCTCAGTTATTGTATTGAAAAATAATAATTTATTCCTCCTTCTCAAATTCCACTGTTTCGTTCAACACCAAGCCTAATGTAACACTCTTCTAATTATAAATGCGATTTAAACCTATTGTCATCAACAGTGATTTAATCTTTAAATTTAACTCGTAAGAGGTAAAACACAATATTGTATGGGTGTTAGATATTGTAGCTGAAGTACTAACTCTAATCAAGTTCTATTTTGTAGCATTTTAAAACATATATTTCCCCGTTTTGTAGGTACTCTACATCTCAATGAAAGTGTTTGCGATCTCTCTCACCTTCTCTTCGATTGCTCTTTCCTGCATGCGAAACTCGTTGTTTTGTTTAAGCTCCTAAAATCCATTTATATCCCCTACGACCTATACTCCATCCTCAATTCAARTTCTTAATACATCGCCAATATAATTATAAATTTTATCATGGATGCTGGTTTTATCGTACAATTTTTAAGATAAATGTTGTTTTTAAATTTTCGTATTTTTCTCGTTTAATATTTTATTGTTAAATAAGTTATATTGTATATATAATTGTTGAGCTATAATTTTATTACTAAATACTAATAAGAATAAATAAAAATAAAACATATTATTTTCTATAACATCGCAGAGTTTCTCCAAATATGAATACGCTTAGAAAATAAGTAATACTCATAAATCTATAATATAATTATATAACATTGTATATCTACATTAAATTATTAACCCAGTTACATAAAAATGACATGGCTTTTATTTAAAATTAAAAAAATATGTTAAATATGTTCTAAAAGATTGTTATAAAAATTAAAAACATACATGATTTATTATAAGAACTACAAATAAATTTTAGAATGTAACCACTTACTATTACTATACAAGAATTTACATTTATACAACGTATATATTATTATAAGGATATATCTTTGTTTTATTTTAATTACCTAATTAGAAAAATGAATAACGACTGTTTTATACTATGCAAACTGAAAAGAATGATTAAACAATGCAATACGCCTTGTAATTAAATAACATAACACATATTATACATGTAACTCAATAATAAATACATACAATAACTCATTTGATTATTTAGGCATATGGTTGTGTAAATTATATTATGAAWTATTTTTTTAAATAATATAGAAATAGAAATATTGGTTTTATAGTTTTTATAGCGAACTATATGAATACCTAGAATTTAATGAAAGCATAAAACTTGACATTATATACGTCAAACATTAATATTGAAAATCAGCGAAAGGTAAAAGATTACCTATATCACCTATACACACCATATACTTAGTAACAATACCGAAGCCTGTAGCCCGTATAGGTGGCTTTTTCTTTCGGTTCAAGTTATCGCTATACTAAATTGTTGTCATCGTAACGGCTGAATCCCTTCTAATGCTATAAATCGGTTAATTTAATTTCGTCGAAAAACCTTAAAAAACCAACAACAAGCGGACATTGGTTACGCGGTCATGCGCGGTACACTGCGCTGTTGTGCTCCCTGAAAAACCACCCGAAACTCTGACCTTTAGGGACTCTAGTCGGCATCGTTCCTGCGTTTGACATTCGGCAAAACGCACAGTCGGCGATACGCAATTTCGGCGGTGGTGAAGGGGAGAGGATAAAAACGTTCCTTGCTGTTTAGTCTGCCTCTCACCCCCCACCCTCTGCATACCATCCATCACCGAAATCGCCACCACTCCGGCGTATATATTATACTGAGCCTTCCACAGTACACACATATACACCACCCACCAAACGCTACCCCATGGACCTACCTAACAAACAACAGCGTGCAATAATTTATTTATAGCTTTCGGCCGCCAACATACCGACCAATCACATTGTATAGATCGTAGTAATAATAGTAAAAGTGAAAGAAGAAAAGTGGTAGCAATGGTAGTCGTAGTTTTCGTAGTAGTATTGCTAATAATAGTGATAGTAGGCTAAATGTATGTATGTAGTAACACAAACACGACCATCTACCACAATTCGTGGGCCGCTATCGCGTAAAAAGACAAAATCAATATCGGAATGTTATATTTTGCTCCAACCTTCGACCCCTCCCACACGCCCCTCCCCACATTTACCAAAACCATCCACCCGACCGCCAACCACCTCGTCGACAAGCACACATACATATTATTATTATATATTATGTATAACATACCCAACTACTTCGCGCTCGACAAGCACGTGTCGCACTGTCAAATGCATCGACAAAGATATACGCGTAAGTGATACATGAACGAACGGAAGGACGCGGATTGTAAATAATTAATAAATCGGACGGTAGAATAAACCGTTTTCAGTGGGTAAATGGTATAAAAACACCGTTTCTATACCCACCGCGAATGTGTACAGCAAAAAGTTCGGAAAACGCAAAAGGTACAAAGCTCAAATTATTATTAAACTTTTTTTTTTCCAACGCTTTGTAATTTTTTAATTAAAGTTACTGGTATTCCTTTTGCTGACGTCTTAACCAACAATGTTTAATTATTTTTATTTTTTGAACAAATCDTTTTTCAAAATGTATATACAATTCATATTCATTGTTTGTATTAATTGATAACTGTTCCCGTCGATACGTATAAATGTTTAATATCAAATAGATATACTYACATCGAAACACAATTGACCACAAAATGAACAATTTTGATTTTTTTATATATTATACCTACAATAKATTTCCRAAATTTTAATTGAAAAAATGTATTAATTAGCATTAAAAAATTATTTGCAAACCATTTTTAWATTTAGAAAGTTATAGTTAATTTTTTTTTCGTTAGGATTATTATGATATACTTACTGAAACATAATACCTAATTTAATTTTCGSACTACCTAATAAAAGTCATTGCTTTCTCGTCAAATGTTGAGAATTACCACTCAACAGTCTCATACTCCTTATCAGTGAACCATTAAAAAAAATAAACCTAGATTTGATTTAGTGATGTAATAAATCATTGAGGTTTAAGCCTCAACAAATTTTATAGTGTTTATAGACTTATGAGTTTTTTGTATTACTGATAATATACAGATTAAAAGTTTTTAAAACATCACATACACATTATCAATAATTATAGGTACATTTATTGAAAATTATATTGCTTAAATTATAACTTATCTAGGTATGGAAATTTATTAGAGTTRCATAGCATAAATTGAACAAATATAAATAATTGAAATGAATTAAATCTTAAACACATGCCATAGCTATAAAAAATGAACGCTAGAAATATTGTGTTGAACATTTTTCTATTTATTTGCTCCAATTAATTAAAATATGTCAAAAAGTAGATTATACTCGTATATGTTTATTTTTCTAAATACAACTGTACAATCACGCTCTATGAAAATGTATAATTTATATGAAAAATTTAAATGCGTTTGGAACTGATATTCTTGTGAATATAAATTACAAATGCAGTGTATAAAAAGGTTAGACAGAAAAACTAGTTTAAAGAAATTATTTCAATAAAAATAAAAACAGAGTGCAGTGTACAATATTATTATGTCACGAATCTTTTCGCTGTACAAGAAACTGAACACGATTATTTTATTTTTTACGCCTTCTCAAGTGCAACCCTTGTTTTTACTCTCTAGCTATGGCACCTGACAGGGTCGTTGGCAAAAGTCACGTTACTTTTTCTGTGCAAAAAAATAATAATAGCAGTGTTTCATTGTGCGTGGTCACGAATCTTATAACAAAATATTCTGGACAAGTTTTTACCTTGTTATAATAAGGAACATGATAAAAATTAAAAGGTABAACGGAATTATTTAACTTTTACAAAATGAATATTTAAAACAGAGAAAAATAAAATTARTATTGATTATAACGAAAAAGATTCTCATCATAATACACACACACGCGTAATTTTTTTTAAATGACAAACA